ATTTCGTTTACTGATGCTCAAACTTTGGATAAGACCTTATCAGAGAATTTAGTATTAGAAGTCCAAGTCACTCAGCATAACTGGTTCCCTGGGGATCTTTCTAAAAGACCCCAAGGGTTTCCATGTTTTATTGTTATGGAGTTTTAAGAACTGGTTTGGCTGCTATAACATCAGTCCTGCAATTATTCTGTTCTTGAGAAAGCAGCCTGAGCTTCTTGCCTTGGAACTTTTGCACGGCATTAGAGTTGACCTCATGAACATAAACCCATGTTCTGAAGTTAAACCTGATTAAAGTGAGGTTAATCAAGTTAAGATAATCCAAGTTGATGCATAGGTAAGATTTCAAATATGCTTGGCACTGGTTTAAACAGGTATCTGATATCAGTCACTAAGAGACTTAGTTTCTAACAAACTTGCAACTATATATATATATATATATATATATATATATATATTAATGTGCCTTTGCTAAGATATCCTAGTAGTTAATGTGTCTCAACTTGAAGTTTCTATGAGAGTGTTTTATCATATTGTCACGAACGGTCGTCGCACACTCGCAACAACTCCGTTCAACGAACCGTTCGTCGCTCACACCTACATGTACAACTGCTTGACAACATGTTTTCTCTTGGTTTTGGGTCATTTTGCTTGTAAAAATGTAAGTTCGAACAAGCTGCAGTGTTACAAAGCGATCGCTCACCGAACCGAGCAAAACAGCCCCAAAACAGCTTCGTTTTCGTGTGCCATGAGCTGATTTCTGGAATCTGCCTTCGCTCACCAAAACGTCAGCCATCTTAGCCCCTTGAAACCCCTCGGGTGGCACAGGGCTGGATGGGGCTTCGGTATAGTATCGGGCATTGAACACTCCTTCGTAAGTTCGCACGTTGCCTTGATGGGAACTTGTTGTCGCGCTCGGGACTTGGTGAGCAGCTGTTTGTGAGCTTACAGCTGTTCGTTTAACCTTCTAAAGCCCTTATTTTTTCCCTCTCTCTCTTTTCTCTTGTGCACGCAAGGTGCTCGCTGAATTGCTTGTAAAGCTTCCTCTTTTTGTGAGACTTCGGGGCTTGTCCGTCACTCGTTCTTTCGAACTAATCAACTTTCTCTTTTACAGGTCCTTCAGGACCTGCGAGAGGTTGCAAGTGGGCTGATCTTTGCGGAGCAATATTGAAAGGGCGAAGTGTGACTTAGGCAACGTAAGCTAAGTTCGCATCTTGGCCGCAAGGGTGCCTCATGCCTTAGGCAATTCCAGCTAAGGCCATGATATTGTGGTATCAGAGCGGGCAAGCACTTCGAGCGAGCAGCGAAGGAACTTCGCAACTTCGCCATGGCAAAGCATCGTGGTGAATCGAGCAAGATGAGGCAAGTCGAACCCTTGCCCCAAGCAGCGTAGGTGGGCTGCATGTGCACACTCGCTCTTAGGTTATTGGAGCCGCTCAAGAGGAGCGCGACAATGAACATGCTGAGCGAGAAGTTGGCTACTCTCCGCGAGCGGAGGAGTCACAGTCTGGAGCGCCAATTGGGAAAAAGAGTCACAAGGAGAGACTCACAACTGTGGAAACCTGCTTGGATGTTCTTGAAGCGAGCATGGAGGAACTCTACCATGGCCAACAAAGGTTTGTTGGGGTAGAGAGCTCGCAAGAGGAAGCGGAGTCAAGGATCGACAAGGTCGAGGCCCTAGTCGACCGACTATCTGATGACACCAAAGACTCCGTGCAACACTTACAAGATGTTGTGGCGGAACTCAGTTCAAAGGTGGGTATGCTCACAAGAGCACTAAATGCAAGAGGAAGCAACACCCGCGTTGAACCACCATAAAACTTGAGGGCACTCGAGCCTCATGGTTATGGAGGGGCCAGAGATGCCAAAGAGCTCAAGAATTTTCTATTCGACATGGAATAATACTTTCGAGCTACGAGGCCTGATTCTGAAGATACCAAAGTTTCTATAGCAACAATGTATCTGAACGGAGATGCGAAACTTTGGTGGCGAACTCGTTGGGAGGAGATCCAACAAGGTCGGTGTCGGGTTGACACATGGGAAGACTTGAAGCGGGAGTTGAGAACTCAGTTCCTACCGGAGAACACATAGTTCGTCGCAAGAAGGAAGTTGAGACAACTCCGCCAGAGTACCACCATTCGAGACTATGTGAAACAATTTTCTGCACTAATGTTGGACATACAGGACATGTCCGAGAAGGACAAATTGTTCAGCTTCCTCGATGGTTTGAAGCTATAGGCTCAACAGGAACTAAATCGAAGGAATGTCACCGATGTGGTCGGGGCAATTGCTGCTGCAGAAAGGCTCACCGACTTTGTTTCCTCCGAAGACCCAAGGAGAAGGAAACAATCTTCAGGCAATCGCCCTCTAAAACATTCTCGAGGGAAGGAGCTCGGGGGTGAACAAAAGAAGAAGAGTTCCCACAAAGGGCCAAGCCCGAAAGGCAAGGTCTCGAAACCTGGTGGATCCTTCTTGTGCGGAGGGCCACACATGGTGAGGGAGTGCCCACAAAAACAGGCACTCAATGCGCTAACAGCTTCCATCTACCCTCCCAAATCGGACAAGGACAAGGCTGTCGCTCTTAGTTCGAGAAGTTCTGAACCCAGCAGCGACGA